ATTCCTACGTAGCACACTGTGTCCACATGGCTTACTGGTAGCCAAGAACAAGTGTGTTCAAGCAACTCAATTAAGATTTCAATCCTCTGCCCAATGTTTTCATTATCTGTGTTGAGTAACTCATTCATCCTTCGGGCAATGGGCACACAGACCGTATGTGCTACGTGACAAGTCTTCCCATGTTATACTTTTTGCTGAGTATTTTCATGGCACCTCTACCTGTGCCCATTATGAAGAACCTTCATGTCCATGGAAGCGGGTGTTGGGAGGTGGCGAGGAATGGGACTCACTCTAGACCAGAGCACCACTGCTGTTCCCCGACTTCTGCAACTTTTCAAGCATAAACAACTCTCAGATTGTTGCATGAAATTGGACATTTCCCAATCATTGAAATGGTTAGTTTTGTTTTGATCTATTTTACCTTTGCAGTCGGTTTTCAAGGAGAAGATTTGGTGACCATGGCCAGAAGGCCTTGCTTACATTCACTTTTAAATTATGCAAAACATATACATTATTGCGTTTTAAATAAAAGTTTGTCTTTTTTTAGGATGTCCAAATAATTCCAAGACATGTCAGCTCTTTATGGTGAAACACCATTAACTTGACAGGTGGAGAGTAAGCCCAGAAACAGGAAGACGTGGTAAGACCATCTTCCTTAGACTCCTGTCCAAGTGGGAAGGCATTTCATCTGCCCCCGTGTGTCTACAGCAGTGGAATAGGCTGGAAAGGGAAGCCTTCCAACAGCGATACCTTTATGTATTTATGTCACCACAAATGTCACCTGAACGGTGTGACATTTATGGGGTTTAGATGTGGGACACAATCTTTCATAATGTTCTCTGCTATTCATTCTCCTGGACCAGATTTGATCTTGGCTATCACATAGCAGACATTGTCTGAAGAAAAAATGTCCTATTTGAGGTGTGTTATCTGACAAGAGGAAAGCAACTGTGAGGCAGGCTGTTTCCTCTGCTTGTGAGGACGCCCTGTCCCTAACCCGCTCCCTCGGTCTTCCCACAGATCCTTTTTTCTTTCCCTTCCCTGCTTGTGAGAGGAATACATGCTTTTTGTAAAAATGCACATAGAGAACCCATCCTTCAAAATCTGCGGCCATATCACGTTTTAAAGTTTAGTTTGTATCCTGACAGTTTGGTGTTTGTAAATGTCACAGAATTGTGGCCGTACTGCCGATATTATGTATATTAAAAAATTATAATGTAAAATTTTTACTGTCTGTTGTAGAAATTTTGGAATATCCAGAAATGATTGAAGTCACCTGATTATATTCTTCTTGTCTTTCTGATTTGTGCATATGTATTTCGGTTTTTATTTTTATAAATATCATCCTATGGGACATATGGATTTTTCATTACATATTTGCTTTCATTTGATAGCATGAGCATTGTCTGTGCTACCATAATATCTCTCTCTCTCTCTCTCTCTCTCTCTCTCTATATATATATATATATAATTTTGAAGCTTCTGGGTGGCTCAGTCGGTTCAGTGTCTGACTTGTGATTTTGGCTAAGGTCATGATCTCACAGTTCATAAGATCCAGCCCCGTGTTGGGTTTCATGTTTACAGAACCTGCTTGGGATTCTCTCCCCCCCTCTCTCTCTGTCCCTCCACACTCTCGCTTTTTCTATCTCTCTCAAAATAAATAAATAAACTATGTAAATATAATTGTAAGTGGATGCAGTATATTTCATGGAAATAATTATTTACTTTTCTTCTACTTTCAGACATTTAGATTTTTTTCTGATTTTTAGAAGGAAAATGTATATAATGGAAAACAAGTATTATTTTGTCAGAGATATTTCCTGAAGAAATAACTACGGAATGTAATGACAAGGTCAAATGTGCATTTGTGCAGGTCAGATCAGCTTCCTCTGTGTTTGTTCTGAGAATGGACCAAATGACAGAAGTGCCACCAGGAGGGGCTTAGGAGGCTGAATTTTAACCAGAAAGAGTTTCTTAAGGTGGAAAAAGAGTTGAGGAGGGTCTGCAAAATTATGGCCTTTGGACTAAACCTCAGGAACTCAGTGGTGTGGTCACAGTTTAGAATATCCTGTCTCAGGAGGGGAGCCCCATATACACCAAGTCCACTGATGATGCCTGAGTTGAATGTCAGTATATAATTTGCCCTGGGAGAGAACTCTTTCCTACACATGCTGGACTTAACCAGTAACGTGTGGTCCATGTTCATGGAAGCCAAGGCTCACCCAGAAACTGGCTCTTGATAACAGACCAAGAGGAGTGAAGTCTATGGTGTGAACATGCTGTGAATTCCATCTGTTGAAGCCTAATCCATAATCTCAACAATAGAGTTTTGTTTCCCCAGGCACTGGGCACATTGGATCCCAGGACTGGGCACCCTGTCTGTACTGTGCTTGGGATGGGTCGGGGTGGGGATGCTTGCTGTTTGTGCTCATGTGGCTGCACAGCCCTCCTCTGCTCAACCCCCAGCACACTTTTACCTCCCGTGCATGTCTTCTATTGAGCCGTGCTCAGCTTGACTCTCCAGTCATTTGTCCCTGTAGAGGGACTTAGATGATTCAGTACATGTCATTCAATTACACAGTTGAACTCAAGGCCTCCATATGTCTGTGTTGTTGTGAGGAAGGAAGCCCCTCCTTATTATCCTGTCTACACTCTACCTGTGCTAACAGCTTCACATGCCCAGTCTTCTGTCACCCTGCCTACACTGACAAAATTAGATGGGAAGTATGAGCCCCGGTAAATCAGACACCATGAAAAAGTGCAGATCATTGGTGGAATGTCAGGATTACCTAGGGTGACAAGAAGTCTGTGTGCTGGTCCATCAGAAGAGTGTCATCAGAGTGGACTGAAGGTACAGTGTCTGAACAGTCCTGGTCATATGACTTGCAACTCATGAAGCAGCTACTTGGAATGAACTTGGTATAAAATAGGGGAACCCCTCACCCACAGAATAAGAGTATGTTTGGCAGCCATCGTATGTGTGTGTGCAGATGGATTTTTCTTTCATTAGCTGTGACCTTTTGGAAGTGAGCAAAGTTGGCTGTGGTGTAACTGCCCCTATTTTATCATGCAGCACCCCAGCCACCGCTTGCACAGCCCCAACCAGTAGGGGCCGGTTTGACTTCAAGCCTTTTCCACGAATCAACCACATTTGACAGAGCACATAGACCAGAAAAACCCTGAGAAAACAAAACACCAGCGCCCTCCTGCCCCCCACACTGTCCCCTGCACCACCGCCCTCCCCCTCTCTGCACCTGCCAGTGCAGAACAGAGCCCGCAGGGCTGCCCAGGTCAGGTTGGGGAAGGTAGGGGCTGAGGATTGGAAGCCACAGGGGACACTGGCTAGGAGTGCCCAGCACTAAAATCAGCCCACACGGCTTTCAGTCATTTGCTAGTTTCCCCTGTTTGCCTCTGTGCTTTCCACATGCAGAAACAGTTCCAGATCTCTACGTAGAGGCCCAGGCACTCGGCCTAAAGAAGTCTGATCAAACTCCCAAAAATCAAGGAGTAGATGGAAATTAAATTTTCTCTTTCTTGTATCTGGTGGATCTTATGTTGTTTCCACAGAGGCTCTTCTATTCGTTTTTCAAAAGCAGCTATTTCACAGAAACTGAAGCTGATTGCAAATAAAGAAAAGATCCTCCCCATTTTTTTTTTTTTTTTTAAATTTTTTTTCAACGTTTATTTATTTTTGGGACAGAGACAGACAGAGCATGAACGGGGGAGGGGCAGAGAGAGAGGGAGACACAGGATCGGAAACAGGCTCCAGGCTCTGAGCCATCAGCCCAGAGCCTGACGCGGGGCTCGAACTCACGGACCGCGAGATCGTGACCTGGCTGAAGTCGGACGCTTAACCGACTGCGCCACCCAGGCGCCCCTAGATCCTCCCCATTTTTAAATGAGACATTGTTTTCATTCTCAGATATAAAATTTTTTACTTTAAATGCATTCATTAGCACAAATGGAAAAAAAATAAACAGTCATTTATTCTTTTCCCCACCTACCACATCCTGAACATTTTGTTTTATACCCATGTTTGTAGAAATGTATGCACACATATAAATGAGTGTCATACTTCGTGTGTGTGTGTGTGTGTGCACGTATGTATTATTTCTAAAGTAGAGCTGCATCAGTAGATGAAAATGCTGTTGACCACTTCATGTGCCCAGCATAATTATCTCATCTCATCCATACGACTCCAGGAGACGTGTCACTCTAAGTCCATTTTACAAATGAGAAAATTATGGCACGGGGAGTTCAAGGAACTGTAGACCCAAGATTTAAACCCAGGCACTTAGGGTTCAGAGTCCAAACACTTAACCCCTCCACCACCCTACCTTTCCAGTGTTAGTGCAGCTTTCACGCGGTTCTTGTGACATCAGGAAACATGGTGCACGTGTGACACGGGTCCAGGTCTGACACACCCGCCAGTCACATGACATGTGATACTGTCACCACCAGAATGTCTTAAACCAAGGAGTCTGAATCTGCTGATCTTTGAAGAAGAAATAACCTGGACACCTTCACTGGCCAGTGTCCCCAAAAAAAACATCATAAAGACTCTTTCAGGGCAAGAATTAGAAATGTGGAATTGACCATGATTAGAACCAATGCTGAATTTCTAGGCCCAGTTGTCATGCTGTCTCTTACCTTGGACTCTCAGTTTGAGGACACCAAATGAAAGAATACAGAGACAAGAGTAGAGTCTTGATTATTTTACTTGTTCTTTTTAGGAAAAACAGTGCAGAATTCATTAACAAAGATAGAGGCCTCAGGGTGTGTAAATTAAAAGGCTTCAAGGAAGTCATCTTGTTAAAGAGCCCCAGGGGACATGCCTGGAAGGTGCCTACTGGCTTTTAGGGATAACAGCCAATGGAAAAAGGTGGACCTTTTGTGCCACCATGTGTTAGGAACTCTTCCCATTACCAAAGAGTGTGGGTTTCCCAAGCAGATTGACAGTGATAATGGCAGAAGAGACCATGCTCTTGAGGAGGAGCAGGAGGTAGGTATAGTAGGCAGAGTTGTTCACGAGATGCAGATGCAGGGCGTCTAAAAAGAAACCATTTATTAATTTCACCTGCTCTTTTGAAAGGCTAGGACTTATTAATGGGAGCGGGGTCACATTATACATTTCCAATGATCTGGGTTGAATTGACTCTCCTACACCAATACAACCCAGTTGTAAAAACATCTACACCATCATCAGCACTACCACCACCACAAAGACAACTCAGAATCCAGCTTGCAGGTCAAATCAATCAACAATCTCTGCAAAATTCACTTAGAACTTTCCAAAGTATGAATGGTAAGGTTGCATTTTTAATGAATGGATCCAGTGGGGGGGGGGGGAAGCATTGGTGATAAATAGCTTTTAGCTTCTTGACCCCGTCTCTGTCTCAGAGTAAGAATAACAGCCAATATACATTGGCCACAAACTAAACACCACTGACTTTGAGAGATTTCCACGCAAAATGTTAATCTTATTTAACTTTTCAATAACCTATGAGATTATTATTCTTATTCCCGTTTTATGAATAAATTGAAGACAGAGAAGTAATTTGCCTGATCTTATACCATTAGTAGGTACCCGCAACATGACATTTAAGCAATATTTTCAGCTATGCTGTAATTCCGCATCTCCACATGCAGTAAGTACCCATCAAATGATTAGCACAAATATAAAGAAGAATTGCTTATTTTGAAGGATATTAGCCATTACATGTTGTGCATTCAGTGAGATTCCTAGGAATCCTTGGAAATTTGGTGGTGTTCACAGTGGGGTGGGTGAAAGTTTTTTGTAAAGAGGACATTATATAAAAAGAAAGAAAGGGGTTAATCCAAAATCTCTGAAACTTTAGGAGGTCATGGCTTATTCACCTGTCTTTCTTGAATGTCTCCTTGTAGCTATGATATTGTAGGAAAATAGCTTTTATTATCCTCTGAAGTTTAGAAAGAAATATATGTTGAAATAATTAATGACAACAATGGTGGGACAGGCTGACTACTCAACGAACAAGGCCAAGTCTGTTCCTATGGAAATTTACTTTACATGCTTTATCTCTAGAGTTAAGAACTCCAGAATTATTCCCCCTTGGTGTGGAAGGGACTTCAAGTGGTGATACGCTCATAACTCCTTACCCTTAGTCAGGTAATATGTTACATAGGGTCCAGAGGCCCCTTGATATTGGACATGGAAGGCAGACCAGCAGGGCTAGAGTCAATGCTCCTCATCACTTTCTTGGTACATATGTTGGGAGAAAGGGCCAGAAACCAGTACTTACAATGTGTCAGCTAAATGAGACACCCAATACTAGACATTCCACATATGGGACCTTATGTCTTCAGTAACTCAGTTAGGTGTTATTTGTGTTATCCCTGCTTGGGTTAGAAAAATGTCAGTAATGTACCCACATTCATGCAACCAATAATTAAAAGACTGGAGTTAAAGTCAGTCTGTGGCACTTGAAGTCTTGCACTCACCCCCCCACCCCGCCCCCATGTGTGCACCTGTCTCAAGGCCTTGGCTTTGGGATTTAGAGGAAGAATAAAAACTGAGTAAGTGTATGAGCTCTTGATTCAGATGCTCTTGGTAGAAGACCCAGATCTCTCTGTGTGGCATTGTGCAAGGGACTTAATTAATTTCAGCTCATTGCCATAATGTGTAAAGTGGTAATAAAATCCTTCATAGCGAGTATTAAAAGAATCAGACAAAATGTACTTCCAGGGCACACCATGCCTTCTGTACAATAACCCCTCTGTGTTAGTTCATGTTATTGACTACTAGCAAGAGCAAAGACTCAAAACAAGAAATCTAGAAGCAAGCTGATGTCCTCAGTCATTAGAAACAAAGGCCACAGAAATGAATGAAATCCATTGTTGAAATACTTCAGAGGCCCTTGTTGCACTCCTAATTTATAGTTCTCTCATTCCCAAGCCAGGATGTACTGTGTGAAGACGACTCCTGGGGAATGATGGGTTGACTTAAAATATCACTCAGTCTTTTTGCAAGATCCTGCCATTGTGAGATTTCTATCTGAAGCCAGGGAAGTTCAAAATGTAAGTTGATCAGGAGGAAAAAATGCTATAGCATAACATAAAGGCAAACATATAGAAAAACTTACCATTTTCATCCTTCAGAGAAGCTTCTGTAGAGTGAATAGCAGTGAGATCTAAAAAAAATGAGAGTAAGTATTATTCCATTGTTCATATCCATTATTTGACACGTGTGTGTATTGTGGATGGATGGATGGATGGATGGATAGATAGATGCAATTTGTCAACAGAGAGGAGAGAGGAATTACAAGTATGAGCCCTGAAATTCCAGAAACGGTTGGATTGATTCTATGTAATTCAGTAGATCAATTCATATGTTGTATTTCTGCACATGAACATGCTGAAGTTCATGAATGATGGATTTGTATCTTTTTTCCTCACAACTAGAGGGTCCTTTTTAAGATTATCGTGTTTTCCTTTTGCGCTTGTATCTCCTAGCTACAATGCCTGCCACAAAGTAGGTATTCTGTAAATACTCATTGAATGGAAAAATAACCAGAAACAGTGGCTGCTATATGGTCATCAGCACCCACTGTTGACACGAAGTGTTGCTACCAAAGTAAATTCGTAGACACTAGAAACCACAGTAGAATCTTACACGTTGGAAGAAGTCTGGTTTAGGTGGATTTCCTGTCTAAGGAAAGAAAGCAGCCCTACCTTTCAAAGCATACATGCCCCACTATCCCCAGATCCGGCACTCAATTTTCTGGAGTGGAGGTGTTTACGGATGTGACAGCAATGCTGATGAAAGTCAATACCTATTGAGTGATTATCACTGTGCCAGGCACTATATGAAAGGTTCACATGCATTTTCTCATCCGATCCCCCAGTGACACTGATGTGAACTTAACATGGAGGACTCCATGTTGCACACAAAGAGATAAGGTTTAGAGAATGTAAGGAACTTGCTAACAGTCATACCAGTCACCAGCAGAGCCAGCACTCAGAGGACACTCTGGGGGTTTAGATAAGCTAGAGTGTGTGGAAAGTATCTTGTAAAACAATCCATAGAAATAGAACATAACTCTGGGGCACCGGTGTGGCACAGTTGGCTAAGTGTCCGACTCTTGGTCTCAGCTCAGGTCATGATCTCACCGTTCGTGACTTTGGCACAGAGCCTGTTTGGGATTCTCTCTCTCCCTCTCTCTCTCCAACCCCCCTGCCACTTGCTCTCTGTCTCTTTCAAAATAAATAAATAAACTTATAAAAAAAGAGAAACAGAACATAACTGCACCATCGTGGACTCTCCGACATCATCTCTTCCAGTGTCTTAATTACTCTTAGCAAATGACCTTTTAATTGTAGAAGTTCAGCATTTCAGTGCACTTCCTTGCAGGGATAGAATGATAGGCCAAATCATATTAATAGCTGTCTGGATGTATAAAACCTGAGGTGAGGATTGTATTTATCTACAGTGTTAAAAAAAAAAGTACAACATATGTACAAGGACAAAATTTGTTAAAAAGATCAGGGACTATTGGATAGAGGAACAAAGAGTTGAAAGGCTGTTTTAGTCTATCTTTTTTTTTCAATTTTTTAAAAAATGTTCATTTATTTTTGGGAAACAGAGACAGAGAGTGAGCAGGGGAGAGGCAGAGAGAGAGAGGGAGACACAGAACCCAAAGCAGACTCCAGGCTCTGAGCTGTCAGCATATAGCCCAATGCAGGGCTCTAACTCACAGACCATGAGATCATGACCTAAGCCAAAATTGGTCACTCAACTGACTGAGCTACCCAGGTGCCCCTAGTTTGTCTTTTTTCTAATTGATGTGTTCTTGTCCACACATACATGGTCCTGGTATGCAATTTTATGCACTCCATACAATCATATTTTGGTGCACTCTTTAAAAATGAGTTTGACAAAGGACACAAAAATACTGATTCGAAGGGGCACATGCACCCCAATGTTTATAGCAGTGCTATCAACAATAGCCAAAGTATGAAAAAGAGCCCAAATGTCTATTGACTGACAAATGGATAAAGAAGATGTATACACACACACACACACACACACACACACACACACACACAATGGAATATTACTCAGCCTTCGAAAAGAATGAAATCTTGCCATTTGCAATGACATGGGTGGAACTAGAGTGTATTTATACTAAGTGAAATAAGTCAGTCAGAGAAAGACAAATACCAGATGATTTCACTCATATTTGGACTTTAAGAAACAAAACAGATGAACGTATGGAAAGGGAAAAGAGAGAGAGAGAGAGAGAGAGAGAGAGAGAGAGAGAGAGAAGCAAACCATCAAACCATAAGGGACTGTCAACTATAGAGAAAGAACTGAGGGTTGATGGAGGGAGGTGGGAGCGGGATGGGGAAATGGGTGACGGGCATTGAAAAGTGCACTTGTGATGAGCACGGGGTGTTGTATGTAAGTGATGAATCACTAAATTCTAGTCCTGAAGCCAATTTTACCATATATGTTAGCTAACTAGAATTTAAATAAAACCTTGAAATTAAAAAAAACTGGATTTGAGGTATAGGCTTTGGGAAAAATCTCCAAGAAGGAAAATGTTAGCATAATTATGTTAAATGTTAAAAAATCCTCAAGAGCTGATTTTAAAGTGCTTTAAAAATCTCTTTCTTTTCCATACAATGATTTTATTCATCATATTGTGCACCTGAAACTAATGCAACACTGTATGTTAACTAACAGAAATTCAAATGAAAAGGTAAAAAAAGATAAATAAAATCTGTTACCCTGCATTGATCGACATAAAGACAGTAAGGTAACAATGTTCATAATAAATTTGTGTGCGTGTGTCCTAGGTGCTCTTTCTCAATCCAGGTTGGTCGAAAACGTGGACAAGATGTGTTTAATCTCTCTTCAGAATCACTTCATTCTTTTGTGCTTTCATGTGTATGTATACATATAAAATATACACGCTTTGGGGCACCTGGGTGGCTCAGTTGGTTAAACGACCGACTTCGGCTCAGGTCATGATCTCGCAGTTTGTGAGTTCGAGCCCCACGTCGGGCTCTGTGCTGACAGCTCAGAACCTTGAGCCTGCTTCAGATTCTGTGTCCCTCCATCTCGCTACCCCTCCCCTGCTCACGCTCTGTGTCTGTCTCTCAATAATAAACGTTAAAAAAAATTAAAAAATATATAAGCTTTAATCAAAAACAAAAACAACAA